ATTATATCTGTCTGGTATGTATCCAAAAGGTACACTTTCTTCTTGTGGATAGAATGCTCTGCTTGGAGTGAGTCAGATCTAGGTTTGAAATCTGCCTCGGACACTAGCTGTGTGACTCTGGGCAATTAATTTGACTTCTCTGGGCCTTATCTCTCCCCGCCCCCCACCCCCTATGATATCATCTACTTTCAGGAATTATTTTGAGGATCAAAAATATATGTAAAGTACTTTGTGAGCCTTAAAGTGCTATACAAATTATTATTCTCTTCCTCATTAACTTATTTATGCCCTGAGAATTAGTATAACAATGAATACAGAACTGGATTTGGAATCAGGAACACCTAGGTTTTGAATATGGCCTTTGAGGTTTTCTGGCTGTGTGACCATGAGCAAGTACCTTAACCTCCCTAAACCTTGTTTCCTGATCTTTAAAATGAGTATGATAATAGAGCACAATATAAATGAATGAATAGATGAATAAAAAACTGTTTATTAAGAGCTTACTGGGGATACCACTAGAAAAATCTCTTAAGGATTTCATATTCTAATGATAATAATGGCTAGCATTTATACAGTAGTTTAAGGTTTACAAAGTTCTTTACTTATGTTATCTTACAACAACCTTGTGAAGTTGGTAGGTAATAAGAGGAGATAACACATATTAGATTAACACAGTTTCAACTGCAAGTCTGGCAGTGAGGCCCTATAGTTGAATTCCCTATTTGATAAACCCTAGTAGCTCTCTATTACTTCTAGGATCAAATGCAAAGCTTTGTTTGACTGTTAAAGCCCTTTATAACCAGCCTTTTCCTACCTTGTCAGCTGTCCAACTTCCTTTCAAGCTTACTCCCTTCCTTGTTGTTCAGTTGTTCAGTCTTGTCCAACTCTTTGTTACTCTGTGGACTAACTGTCCATGGGAGTTTCTTGGCAAAGGTACTGGATTGGTTTACTGTTTCTTTCTCCAGTGGATCACTTTGTTAGGCAATCAGAGGTTAAATGACTTGCCAAGGATCACACAACTAGAAAGTGTCTGAGGCTACATTTGAACTCACATCTTCCTAATTCAAGGCCCAGTGCTCTATCCACTAAGCCACCAGCTCTCTCTACCCCCTTCTATGTATTCTGTAATATATCGACACTGACCTCCTTGTTCCTCCAAGACACTCATCACTGAAAAAGTCAAGAGTATCATTCTCTGGTGGTTAAATATATTTTGTATCACATTTCCTGTGCAATTCTGTACTATTCTGTATTTCATTGAACACTAGTTATGTGAATATGACATAGTGGAAACAACCACAGTGTGGCCTTAGATAGTATTTACTCATTTGTTCCATGCATCTCTCCATATGTCTTGGGGTGAACAGTCAATTTTAAATCTTCAGATTTTGGTATTCCATAACTGCTATCTTGGAGATGCTGCAAGATAACTTATGAAAAGTCCAAGTCTTCTGTTCCTCTGAAGTTCACAAGATGTTTCTCTGGTCAAGGAGGGGGAAAGGAGACTGAGGCTGAAGTCAAGACCAAGACCAAGGCCAAGGCATTCCTCCTGCCTTCTGCCAAGGGATTTCCTCTCAGAGGACACTCTCTCTTCTCAATGTCCAGACATTTGAATCTCTAGGATTCTGAACTGGTTTGCTATTTTTTTTGAAGACCCATAGAGTAAGACCAAGTCCTTCAACTCATCTGAACAGATTTTCTGTTTTATGTAGCTGAAATGCCTATTGACTGATTTATAGAACTTATTCATACCATGATTCCATGATTTGGGCCTTTACCTGACAAAGCTGTCAGAGCTTAGCATCTTGTCAGTCACTTTTAGTGGGGTGAGGTAATTGTGTAAGCTGATTACATGCATGTGCCACCCCCCTGCCGCACTGTATCTATTACAAACAAAGCGAAGTCCCCTGTCCTATGAACTTCCTATATAAGGCAGCTTCCTTAGCTCTGAAATGATCATGCCCTTTAAATTAAGAACTATACCTTGGGGCCTCCTCTTTTAATGTGACTCTTCTATTAAAAGTTTACTGAACTATTCCTGCCACCTGGGAAGTCTGCTTCAGTATTAAAGTACTAATAAACCCTTCATTTTCAGCTGTCTGTATCCTTCAAGAAAAAAGGCACAAAGTCCTGTAGGGATTGATTCCACAGTTGCAGGTTTAGATGAGAGGAATTTTGATGTCCACATTGGAGGCGTTACATTCTTTCCCAAGTGCATCGTTGATATTATGACTTGAAGAAAGAGAATAGGCAGTCTGTTAAAAATGAGCTCAGGTAATCAATGTCAATTTTTTTTTTCTGACAGATGATTGCTCGTGTTCTGGATTTTAAGTCTTGCTATGGTAAAAATGTTATAGAGTTTGAGGGGATTAATTTGGATGTAAAGACTGTCATTCATTCAATATAGTGCCTACTATGAACTAAGCACTTTTTACAAATAGTATCTCACTTGAGCAATAAATGAATACAACACATATAAAATGTAAATACAGAGTAAACACAGTTTTGGGGAGGAAGAGAGCAGCACTAACAACTGTGGGAAGATAGTGCTATCCATAATTTGGGGGGGAATAGAGCAGCATTAACAACTGGGGGAGGATAGTGTTATCCTCAACAGAAATAGGTGAGTTAGGAAGAGGAGTGAAGGAAAGAAGAGCATGTTTTCTGGAACGTTGTTTGAAACAAAAAATATATGCTTATCCATCAAGGAACTTGATAAAGGCTAATTTATGCCACCTTCAGTAATTCAATTCATGTCAAGCATATTTGTCAGAACCACAGGATCTCAGAGTTAGAAGGGACCTCAGAAGCCACTCTAACCCCTGTGTGAACAAGAGTCCTTTCTACACTATCCCCGACATGAAGTCATCAAACTTTTTGTTTAAGACCTGCAATGAGTGGGAAGCCATTGCCTTCTGAGGCCAGTTGTTCTGTTTTCAAATAGCTATCATTTTTAGGTCACTTCCCTTTTATATTAAATCTAAATTTGGGTCTTTGTGACTTCCATCCTTCGATCTTAGTTCTGCATTCTCAGACCAAGTAGGCCACGTCCATTTCTCTTCCCTATGCCAACACTTCAAGTATTTCACCGTTTAAGCCGCCACTGGAGGAAGAAGGAAGCTCACCTTTTCTTTCTTTTTTTTTCTTTTTTGTTGTTTTAGGCAATGAGGTTAAGTGACTTGCCCAGGTTCACAGCTAGTAAGTGTTATGTGTCTGAGGCTGGATTTGAACTCAGGTCCTCCTGAATCCAGGGCCAGTGCTCCATCTACTGCGCCACCTAGCTGCACCAAGCTCACATTTTCTGAACTGATATTTGAAACAAAATACTTTCTCACCCTCATAGAACTAGAACAAGGCTCATGTAGTTCCTTCCTCTGCAATTCAATTAATGTCATTCATTTAGCATGTCATTAGTGTGTACTTAATTCCAGGAACAAGCATTTACCATGTGATTACTGTGCACTTGTCACATTTAGTTACTTTTGAATTAATTGTACTGATTTTTTTCAAGGTTTTTTTTTTTAGGAGCTAAATGATTACATATGAAATTTGATCTTAGGGATAAGATCTTGTGTTTTTGTATTTTAAGTTTCACATTTTGGAGACATTGGGGTGTTAAGAATGCTATACTTAAGGATAGGGATCCTGGTTTGCAATCTTGGTTTTGGCACATATTGTGTCAGATTTAAAAAAAAATTTGGTTATAATGAGCATAGAGTAAACCATAGGCAGGAGTATAACCCTTCTCGGACTCAGTTTCCTTATCTGTAAAATGGGATAATAATAGTGTCATTTCCCACTTTTTAGTATTTAGAAGAAAGTGTTTATAAGCTTATAGCCCTACAGAAATATGAATTTAGATATATAGAAATATGTTTTTGCGATATGTTGAAATGTTGACACATATATCATGATTGTTAAGAAGCAGTTAGAAGAAATTCCCTTAACACTGCTGCTTATGGACTCTCCAGAATGTCTACAGTCATTTTCTCCAGAATGGAAAGCTTCTATCTGATATTCAAAGCCCTTCATGGTCTAGCCCTGTCCCCTCCAACCTTTTCAGTCTTCTTACACCTTGTTCCTCCTGTCCCCATCTACTTTTTGATTCAGTAACATTGGCCTCCTTGCTGTTCCACAAACAAAATACTCCATCTCTTGGGTCTGGGAATTTTCTCTGGCTGTCCATCATGCTTGCAATGCTCCTCTTCCTCATTGCTACCTCCTGGATTTCCTGGTTTCCTTCAAATCCCAGCTAAAATCCTAGTTTCTACAGGAAGCCTTTCTTGACCCCTCTTAAACCTAGTGGCTTCTCTTTTCATTATTTCCTATTTAACCTGTATATAACTTATACATACACACACACACACACACACACACACACACACACACACACGCACACACACATATATATGTTCACTTGCTATTTCTCGCTCACATTAAATTGTGAGCTTCTTTACAGCAGGGATTGTCTTTTGACTCTTTGTATCCCCAGTGCTTAGCACAATGTCTGGCACATGGTAAACACTTGATGCTTATTGATTGAGTAATTCATAGCTTCACCAACAGTTACTAATGTGCTTGTTATTACTTTAGCTGCCTCAACATTAATTTCATTGTCATCCTTGTCAATTTGCTGAGTGTGAAGTGAAAGCTCAAAGTTGTTTTAATTTTTATTTCTCTTATTATTTATGATTTGGAGCAGTCTTTCATATAGTTGTTTATATTTTGTATTTTTTCTTTTGAGAACTATTTGTTCATGTTCTTTGATCACTTCTCATCAGTTAATGGATCTTGGTCTTATGGATTATTATTTATTTCCTGCATGTCAACTATCATGTATTTTCTACCCAATTGACAAGTTCCCTTTTTAGTCTAGTTGTAAGATACATTACATTTTAAATTATATTGATTTAAATATTTATATTTAAAAAATAAATATTTATCTTTTTCTTTTTTTGCTCCCTTTTCCCCCCCTCTGCCCTATGCCCATCACATGTAAGAAAGAGTTGGATTTAAATTTTAGGGCTGACATAGGTAGGAATGAGTGGAATGGAACTACACTTCTTCCTTGGGAATATTTCCCACCTGGAATTGACAAAATGAATTTATATGCCATCCATGGATCTGGGGATAGAAGAATTTATGAAGCTCTTTATCCAATACACCATGAAGAGATTGCAGCTGGACAAGTGCCCAATTTGTGAGTGTCTACTGATTATTTGATTTAGTGTTCTTTTTGGCTGTCAATCAAACTGGTGCAGAGAGAGAAATAAGGATTTGTGAGACTGTATTATAATAAAGCAAGATTGGAAATTCTTTTGAATAGTTTGGTGAACTAAAACACCTTTGTTGTAATTCTAAGAAAAGAAATAATTAAAACTTTCTCAGTGTGGATGGATGATAGCAACATGTAAATGTAATTTCAACCATACACCTGTTAGAGAGTCTTTACCCTTGTATAAAACCAAAGGTGTAGTGGAATGAACACATAATGTGGAGTTGAAAGAGTTGAGTTTGAGTCTCAGCCCTTTGAGCAATTGGCTATGTGACCTTGGGCAACTCTTTTAGTCTCTTTGAATCAGTTTCTTCATCTGCCAAGTAGATGGCTGTTGAGAGGAAAGAAAGTTATATTAATTAATTAAATATTTATTAAGGGCCTACTCTATGTCAAACACTGTATTAGGTACTATAGAAATGTGAATTCATATTGTAGTTTATGGCAAACATGCTGAGTATATTCACAAGTTATTTTATAATTTTTTAAACTTTTTACAAAGTAGAATTAAAATTCCTCAATAATGTATTTTATTTTACTGTATCACCTCCTAACTTTAACACCAAAAGAAAAAAAGCAGCTTAATAAATTCACAATGAAACTTTCATACATTTTACCAGTTACCTTAATGATTAAGAAATTCACAGGGTACCTTAACTTGAGGCAATTTGATGTACTAGGGTGAAGCCTTTCCTAATTACCCCAAATGCTAGTGCCCTCTCTCTCAACCTACCTTGTATTTATACTTGTATCCTCAATGGTTAGCAAGTACAGGGGATGGCAAGTAGTAGTTGCTTAATAAATACTTATTGATTAATGAGAGTGGGGATGGGGAACTCTTATCTAGGGAAGCACCATAGGGGCTCAGTGATATGCTTTGTGGAACATCTTTCAAACAGCATGGTGGTATTTTCCACACGAGTAATAATAGAAGACCTTGCTAAAAGAGGAAAAACTGGTTTCATAAGTATGTATGTAAACCTTCAGGGCTTAATGCACAGACAGTACTCTGTATTACCTCTCCTTACCTTCACTTCTCTCATCTCCTGTCATTGCTCTATTGAGGTACCAACTTCTCCTTGAAGCCTTCCCTCATCCCCTCCAAGGTTAATGTTCTTTCCCTCCTCAAATTGCTTTCTTTTTTTACCTAACTATATTTTGTTTCCAGGGGAAATAGGTAAGCTTATTGAAGGCAGAGGTAGTTTCATTTTTGTGTTCATATCTTTGATGCTTAGTATAGCGTGTTACACGTAGTAGCCACTTGATAAATGTTGGATTGAATGGAATGGAATAGAAGTGACCAGAATATGTCATAGTTCAAGATAAAATCAGTATTGGGTAAGGCTCAAGTCATTCAGAAAACTATCTGCTCCTCCAAAATGTATTCATCTTTAATAAATGCATAGAATCTTGGGTCCTAAGCTTAAAAACTAATATCTTCCTTCCTTCCTTCCTTCCTTCCTTTCTTCCTTCCGTCCCTTTCTCTCTCTGTCTCTCTCTCTGTCTCTCTCTCTCTCTGTCTCTCTCTGTCTCTCTCTCTTTCTCTCTCTCTCTTTCTTTCTCTCTTTCTTTCTCTCTTTCTTTCTTTCTTTCTTTCTTCTCTCTTTCTCTCTCTTTCTCTCTTTCTCTCTTTCTCTCTTTCTCTCTTTCTCTCTTTCTTTCTCTCTCTCTTTCTTTCTCTCTCTCTATCTTTCTCTCTTTCTTTCTTTCTTTCTTTCTTTCTTTCTTTCTTTCTTTCTTTCTTTCTTTCTTTCTTTCTTTCTTCTTTCTTTCTTTCTTTCTTTCTTTCTTTCTTTCTTTCTTTCTTTCTTTCTTTCTTTCTTTCTTTCTTTCTTTCTTTCTTTCTTTCTTTCTTTCTTTCTTTCCCCTTTTTAATCCTGAAGCCATTGCCTGGAGTATTTCAAACTCTTTGATCTGAAGTGGGTGATGGGAGACGACTGGGAGCAGCCCCATTCAAAGCTGCTGTTTTAGCTCACAGCAATTGTTTCAAAAAGCCAAGAGAAAGCCATGGAGCAGATCCTAACTCAGCTCACCCCTTTGCCCTTTGATTGTATCACGGAAAAGGAAATCTTAGTCCATTATTGCTGCCAATAATGTCACAATATATGGGAAATAAAACATCTATATGAAAGGGTGGGTCTTAAAAAACTTAACACTGAATATCAATAAAAGTCACTATTATAACCAAGGGAGGCTTTGCCCTAGGCAGAGCAGAACATTTTAAAGGATGCACAACTGACCCCTGGGCCATGGGGATGTGCAGACTCCAGAGAGGATAGCTCCATCCTTCTGCTAGAGAACTTCACTTTCTCTGTGCCTTAGTGACTCCAATAACCTAGGTACATCTCTCCCAGTTGGGAGGTATGGAGCTGTGGAATAAATTATAGGGAGCCCTAATTTTTAAATCTAATTAGAGGGAAGGGGTTAGTGTTGGGGTGGAGAAGTATAGACCTGCTCATTCTAACAGAGTATTGGCTATTGGTAATTATGATAGGGGATGAGGAACTTGGATCAGAGGACTCTAATTCATGAGCACCTTTTGTTTTCTGGTTTGGAGGGTGGGAAAGGAAAGAAATCCTATATGAATGGGACTCATTGCACTGTCTCTCAGTCAAATCTGGACTCTTTCCTCCTACATCTGGGTGTCCTTAAGAGCAAGAGGGAATGGGAGGAGAAGATGAGTGCTTGGATTGTCTGTAGACACCTTTGGGCATAGCAGGTGGTACTTGTGGACGCTCCCTCCTGACACTTCACACAATCACAGTGAGGGTCCTGCCTACCCATGAACAATTAATATTTCTCCAATTATTTAGATCTGATTGTATTTGTACAAAAAAAAAATTTTTTTAATAATTTTGTTTATATAGTTCCTGAGTTTGTATTTGTCCTGGGTTAGACTGCCAGGATGGGTTCGTGGGCAAATCTTAGTTCTTGCTCCTGCTCAGCCTTCATATCTTGACACTCCCTGCCTTGATCCTAGCCTTGCTTAGTATCAGAGTGAAAAGGGAGGGTTGGGTGCCAGGGGTCTTGCCAGTATTCTAACAGGGATGGTGATGGTAGAGGTACGGAGGAGATGAGTATGTGGAGAAGGGCATCAGGTCTTTCTCATCCTGTGAAGATTATCTTGGACTGGACATCTATGGCCTAGCTAGCACCTTGTTAACAGAGACTACTGTTTTAAATAGGAAGCTCTCTATCTCTCTCTTCTGTCATAGCTAATTCCTAGAAAGAGTTATCTGTGCTTTTTGCCTCTACTTACTCTCTTCCTACTCACTTCCCAATCCCTTACAAACTTCAGTCTTTAGACTTCTCCACTCAGCTGAAACTTAGAATTTACAATTTAGAGGTCCTTAATACTTTCTTTCTCCAAGGTTATCAAGGATCTCTAGATTGCTAAATTGAATACTTTTCCCCCCTAAGATCTCAACTTTATTGACCTCTTTGCAATCCTTTGACATCATTGGCTGTCCCCTCCTCCTGGATGCTTTCTCTTCACTCAGGTTTAGTTTTCCTTCTTCCTGTCTGACCACTCTTTCTGTATCATCTCCTTTACTGGATCATCACCCTGCCCCTCCTAACTGTACATGTTGCCTGAGGCTTTGCTCTGGGTCCTCTTTTCTCTCTATACTCTGAGTTTATCAGCTCCCATGGATTCCATTTTCATTCAGTTGCAAATGACTTCCAGATCTGTATATATACAATATGATATGATAAATATTTCTTAAGTACCTACTATGTGATAGAAACTATTCCAAGTGCTGGGGATACAAATAAGAAAAAGATATATTCTCTTCTCACTTCTACTTCTCATAATCTCTAACTTTCTTCAATCCCTAACTTTTCCTGATCTCCTTATTGTAAATGTTTTCCTCCCTCAGATTTCTATCTATATACACTTGCCAGTTAATCTGTGGTTTCTACCCAGGAAAATGCAAATGCCTTGAGGTCATATAATTTGTTTTGTTTTTATAACCTATCTTGCCACACCCACAGAGTTGCCATGGAAACTTTTAGGGGAGGAGGCCTATCTGCTTTGGGAAGTAGGGGCCATCTTGGGAAACTGAGGATGACTTGGGAGAACTTTATTTTTCTCATCATAAAGTAACACTTAGATGGATCTGTCAGCACATTGATGTGATCCTAGCATTAGAGCAGATCATGACCTATCCACATCCTTTCATCCAGTGTGATTCTTTGTTCATGATCTTTTACAAGTCCCACATACACTATACACAACCCCCTGGAAGCCATTTTTTAGGGAGAGCCTTCATTAGGATTCTTTTAGCATGGGACAAGAACCACAGACTGGCCTGGGGATCTAGGGGCAAGAAACACATGCAGTTGAAGTGGGGGAGGATAGATAGGACACAATTTCAATACTGGTGGTGGCAGTGTGGGGAGAGACCCCAGGACACCTGGGGAAGCTGAAGCAGAGACTAGGAGCAGGATGGCATTGGAGAGGGGACCAACCAAGCCAGCCATCTGGTAGCTTCCAATTTTAGCCAATTTTTCTTGTTAGCTAAGTGTTAGATTCTAAAGGTCTGTAAGTGTTGCCAGTGTCCCTTATAATAATAACTTGTACTTTTATAGCACTTTAAGGTTTGCAAAGTGTTTTACAAATATCATCTCATTTTATCCTTACAACAACCCTATTATCCCCATTTTACAGATGAGGAAACTGAGGCAAACCGAGGATATGTTATTTGCCAAGAGTCACACAGCTAGTAAGTTTCTGAGGCTGGATTTTCTATTCATCATGCTCTAAATACAGCATTTTCTAAATTCAGTACCTTCTAAATTTGTGAGCCTGGGGCAAAACCCCAGTTGCCCCTCAGTTACCACTTGGCTTAGGTCTTTTAACATTTGTGAATACCAATATTTCACTGAGGCTATCCATCTGTTATCTCTTATTCTTACTATATGACTAGCCCACCTTAATCGAGGTCTTGGGAACTTTAAATGAAAGTGTGTATAAAGTTTTCTTTGCAGAGAGTTATTAACCGAGGGACTCTGGATTAATTTAGCAGCCAGATCTGTTCTTTCAGCCATAAGCCATGCTGTCAGGGAAACTTAATTACACTTTAAGTGGGATGCAAATGAGTTGTGACACTACATCATTTCACATGAAAGGTTCATTACTTACATTAACTTGCACAATGCTCTTCCTAAGCACAGACTCATTATAATATTCCTGGGATTTTTTTTAACATGCCTAAATGCAAGCAGGGTCTTTATTTTGAATGGCCTGCTCCTTCCTTAATCGTTAAGACTGCAAATGTTCGTTTTATTTGATGGCTATGAATTGGATTCGTGGATATAAGAATATACCAGGCCTGGCAGGAAGGAGGCTGAGTACAGCATCTGTCTACCCCTACAGCTGCCTCTGAACTCAAGGCTGTCCTTTGAAAGCAACTGATAGTGGGGTTTCCCTACCAATGGCTGGGGAAAGAACTTAAAGAGATTCTAAAAGAGAAATTTCAAAGGGCTTCAACACATGATGTTTTTCTGAAGATGAGTTGGGAAGTAGAAATATGTATCAATTAATCATCATTTATTAAATACCATTGTGTACCAGGAACGCTAGACCAGACAAAGAGGTTATGAAGACAAAAGTGAAACACTCCCTGTTTTGCAGGATCTTACATTCTAGATGGGAAAGAATGTCTAGTCTAAGCCCTTCATTTTACAAATGACAAAACTGAGGCCTGTGGCCATATTGGTACTAAATGGCAGAGCTGGAATTTGAACCAAAGTCTTCCGACTTCATGGGCAGCTAGGTGGTGCAGTGGATGGAGCTCTGTGCTTGGAGTCAAGGAAGATTTGTATTCTGGAGTTCAAATCTGGCCTCAGACACTACCTATGACCCTGGGTAAGTCACTTAACCCTGTTTGCCTCAGTTTCCTCATCTGTAAAATGAACTAGAGAAAGAAATTTATCTTTGCAAGGAAAACTTCAAAGGGAGTCATGAAGAGTCTGACATGACTGAAATGACTGAACAACAACAATTTCTGACTTCAGGTTTAGCACTTGTTCCATTGCATCAGTTGCACATATAATGACATTGTTATACAATGACATTCTTGGACCATTGAAGAGTAGAGAAGACTAATGTGGTCTGGTGGAAAGAACACTAGATTTGGAGTCTGAGGATTTGGGTTCAAAATCCAGTTGGGATACTTACTAACTGTGAGACCTTGGGCACATTTCTTTACATTCCTGTGCCTTGGTTTCTTCATCTTGAAAAAGGAGATAGTTGGAGTGGACAATCTCTTCCAGCTCTAAATCTTTGATTCTATGCACTGAAACAATAACAGTGATTTGGCAAGTTTCTGGGAGGGGATTCATCTTTAAGAAACCTCAGAAAGATTTCTGGGACACTTAGGAAGGGCTGACCTTACTCAAACTTCATCAAGATAACTCTTTTCATGATGATAACTCATTTATCATTTTCAAAGCATTTTCCTTAGAACAACCTTACGTGCATTTTATATGTAGGCTATTTTATAGAAGAGGAAACCTAGACACAGAAGTATAGACACATTTGGGTATTTAGGTGATGCTGTGGGTAGAGTACTAGGCCTGGAGTCAGGCAGATCTGAGTTCAAATCCAGCTTCAGAGATTTACTGACTGTGTGATCCTGGGCGAGTTCCTAAATCACTGTTTGCCTTAGTTTCCTCATCTGTAAAATGGTGATAATAATAGCACCTATCTCCCAGGGTTATTGTGAGGATCAAATGAGATAAAAATTATAAAGTGTTCGGTACATAGTAAGCACTCTATAAATAGCTGTTATTAGCTATTATTGTTAAGTGACTTGCCCAGAGTTGCACAGCTAGTAAGTGTCTGCAGTAGGACTGAATCTCAGGTTTTCTGGCTGCATGACCATTTGATAATGCTCTATTTTTGTAGCATCTATGGTATGGTGATTGAGGAAAAGCAGACTGCTTCATGACATTATTATCATCAGACA